TTTTTTTTTTTTTTTTTTTTCTTCATCCGCTTCTGTCGTAAGGACATAAAACGATGTGGGCATATTAATTTACTTTTTCTTCCTTTATCCGCGCGCTGCTTTAAATAATCTTCGTAACAAAACGTTACAAACAAAGAGCAGCTAATATGTACAACTGCGGAGGGTAGCATAAACAAAAAAAAAGGCCACACAAAAGTGTTTTAAAGGGACTACTATAAAATGGACGGTGGATAAAAACATATGAACAAGTGAAACGAATAAGCAAATGGGAAGCAGAGATGTGAGATGTGATTTATTAATTTTTTACATTTTTTCACACCATTGTTCGCACATCTTCGCACTTGCTTTATTTTTCTCCCTTTTTTTTTTTTTTTAAATTCTTCGGTTAACCAAACGAGGCAGTATTACATATACACACGTGCGTATATATATAATATATATGTATTGGGTTCTGTTAATTATTTTTTATTATTTTATTATGTTGTTCTTTTAAATAAGTCTAGGAGTGCCCTTCCGTGGTTTTTTTTTTTTTTTTTCGATTTCATTTTGTTTCCTTTCGTTTCGCTTCGCTTCTTTTCGTTTTTTTTTTTCATTTATTTATTATTTTTTTTTTTTTTTTGCGTTTCTTTGCTTTCTTTTTTAATAGATTGGACTCTTCCATTTATAATTTTAATAATTTAGAATTTCTTACGGTTGTTTTTTCTGTGGCCCTTTTTATTTTTTAGCTTCGTTGTGACTTGTTCGCATTTCATATATTTTCTCTCTCCCTCTTTTTATACCTTTTTCATGGCCTTGTCATTTTTTGCCCTACTCACACGGCGCAGTGTTTTAGTGTAAACGTATGACGCGTGCAAGAATCTAACGTAGAACAGAGTACAAAACATAAAATTTAAAAAAAAAAAAAAAGAAAAGAAGGAACCCCCCCCCCTTTTGTACACGTTTAAATAAGCATTTAAGAATTAAAATTATTTCAACAAGGCAAAGCTAACTGTTAAAAGTTAAAAAATAGGAAACGCAAAAATTGACCGCGCCCACGAAAAGTTGGAGATGGCTAATGTATGGTGGGCCACCTCCTTTGAGACCACGAAAACACAGTACAAAAGCACAATTTGGTAAAAATAGGAAAAAAAAAAAAAAAAAAAAAAAAAAATTAAAAGAAATGTTTTTTTGAATTGCTCATGGGACACAGAAAGTAGGCAAACGGAACAAAATTTACCTCACGGCTTTTTATACACGACGCACAGAACAAGAACACAGGGAGGGGAAAAAAAAAAAAAGGGCGCGCCCTATATATTTTAGGCTTTAATCTTCGTTGTGATTTTTCCTGCATTCATTTTGTTACATATTCATTTGTAACATTCATTTTTTCACGTTTTTTTTTTTTTTGCTGTAATTTATTTTGCGGTAATTTTTTTTTGTGAACGAGAGTGATCGACCATGTGGAACCAACTACAGGACGGAGATAATGAATACCCTGCTAATAGTAAGGATTTAAAAAAAAAAAAAAAGGGAAAATAAATAACCCAGCTGCACTTTTACAAGGCAACCACGCTTGCTTTAAAAAAAGGGGCTGACCCCTCCACTTTGGGTGCGCGAGCGGTCCCCTCGGAGGGAAGTCTTAACCTATCCCCCAATTGGGGAGGGGTAGCCACCGCTGTCGGTGCCAATAACTTGTACCTGTGTAACATGAGCTTAAGTCTGTTGTGGAATACCCCCGCACACACATTTTACTCTTTTTTTTTTTTTTTTTTTTTTCCGCATCCCCAGGCACAGGGTTTGTGAGTGGAATCAAAAAGTACAAAAGCTTCATATGCATTTTGCTCGTAATTTTGGTCGTCTTTGGAGTCTTCATTTCTTACTACGAGCTGCACGAGACGCGTAAGTCTCCCTCATGGGGTGGGGTTGCGTATGCACCGCTTGGCCAGCTTCGTATGCACCGCTTGGCCAGTTTCGTATGCACCGATTGACCTGTTCTTCCTTCTTCCCCTCTACAGCGGTTGATTTCGAACTGGACTGCAACGACTTGAACGAAAAATGCGTCAAGTACAAGTTTCCCGAATTTAAGCGTAAGAATTTTATGCCCCTTTTTTTCCCTGCCATTTTTTATACTTATCCCTAAGCGGCCTACACGTTTGTAGCTTCTTGCCCCCGGTAACACCGCTCCACACAGACATACACGTACACCCCCTGCAGCCCAACGACTTCGCATCGTTGACGTTAACCCCCAGAACAACAATGTGCTTCTAAGGAGTAGCGTCCCATTATTCAATGGTAGGAACGGGGGTTCTCACACATGTCCCCTCCTCCCCTTTATGCTCTTTCATGAATAAGTGGTGCCATATGGTTTTCACACACGTTTTATTTGTTTCCCCCTTCCGCTTGTGCTTTCCCATACACGCAGGTGTATTTTCGGAGGATTTGTTCCGCAAGCACCTCAGGATAGTGATGGAGGAAGCGAAGCTCAAGTACAGCGATGACATGCCTCTCTACATGATTTCCTTTTTGCGAAACGACGCTAAGGTATGACCCCATAATTGAGGTCTTTGTGTCCCCCACCGCCTGTCTGTGCATGCAAAAAATGTCATGCTATACTCATTGCGCTCATTTGTACCACCCCCCCCCCCCCCCCGTCCATCGCTCCACAGGAGGGATGCTGCTACACTTCACAAAGGTGTAACATCAAGGACGCCAGTGTGGTCAACGAAGTTATTTTGGGTCACCAGGAGGATCCCTACGAGGTGGATGCCAAGGTAAGAGAGAGAGGGGATCGGTGTGGTTCGTACAGCTGTTGTGGTGGAAGCTGCGTATCTACATATAACCCCTGCGCGACGTATGCTGTCGTGCGCACGCTCACACGCTGCTGCGCACCCCCCCCCCCCCCCCTGCCAGACCCTGGAGAACGAACTGAAGAGCCTCAACTGGGACACAGATAAACTGTTAAGCAGAGTAAACGATCTGCACGAAAAGTTTCAAACCATGCAGAACACCATCTTCGTTGTCCACTGCAGAAGGGGCAAAGATAGAACAGGAGAGTTCGTCGCTGCATACAAAATGATTATACAGAAACTCGATTTCGATACCATTGTGAAAGCGAATGAAGAGATAGGCAGGGTTAAGACTCCTTACTTGAGGATGCAAAAATGGTTGTGCTTGTACTTGGAAAAAGTTATGGGCTTCACAAACATTGGCTGCTACGACTTTAGGTGATGCAAACATTGGCTGCTACGACTTTAGGTGACGCATCTGAGGAGGTGCATTAACCACATGTTATGAATTGCGAGGAGACTTTTATTCCTCCCCCCCTTGATGCAATGTTTTTAAGAACCACCTACCCGTTTTGAACAATGCAAGGGGGGCAAGTGGATAAGTAGAATTTTGATCCAACTTGTTATGCCGTGGTGGACACAGGCAGACATGTGAGGTCAACACAGGGGCATGCCGGTACAAGCGTGACACGCGAGTGGCAGCTATATACATATATCGCCTTATGGATATAGCCTTAGGAGAAGTTCTCCCCCCTCACAAACGCGCAACTAACGTGTATACATTTAAAAGATTGTCATTTTTTCTTCACTTTATATATTTTTCTTGGTGCGACGCATTCCGTTAGAATGTGTTTAATGGGCGCTTGCTGTCCACTGCACTCTTCCTGCTCGTCTTTTTTCTCTTTCATGTGTCCCCCCCTCCTTTACATATATGACCCCCGCTTCCCCTATATTCCATCACACCTTTTTATCTCCAATTCGTGATTTATATTTGTCCCATTCTCTCCCCTTCTATTCGTTTGCCTATTTATATTTTATTTCATTTGTTCCTCATCGCACGCACCCATCCACCCCTTCACAATGGAATGTTTATATCTTTAATGACATGTTAGGGGTGTGAAGGATTCTTTTTTTTTTTTTTTTTTTTTTTTTTTTATGTTTCGTTGAGAGGGGAAAACACCTTTTTTTTTTGGTATTCCCACTTTTTTTTTTTTTTTTTTTTTTTTTTTTTTGCATCCCCTGTGTGAAGTTGCAATAGGAACCCAGCTGTGCACAGGCAACTTAACCAAATGAGCCGCTGCACCTCCACACAGTTGGATTAGGTGCAGTGCGTCGATCGGGTCCCTGGCTGTGTATTTCCTTCCCCCCCACACACACACCACATGTACGAGAGTCTTTTTCTTCGTCCTGTGTGCAACACATGGAAAATGTGTCCCCGTTTTTAAGCTCCTCATTTTTTACATGCCTTTTTTTTTACCTTTTTTTTTTACCTTTTTTTTTTTTGAGTATCCATCTTTTTACGTATCCATGTTTTTACCTGCCCGGTGGCTGGCACGAGAGACGAGGGAAAAAGAGATTGAGAGAGAGGTTCCCTTCCGGCGCGTCGCACCCCCCGTGATGATGGTTGAAGACCGCAGCAGATGAATGCAAAAAAAAAAAAAAAAAAAAAAAAAAAAAAAAAAAAGAATTCGCACGGAATGAAAAAACACCACAATATTCATATACGCAATTATCCTTTTTACACAAACATATACATGCTTTGTTAGCCTTTTTTTTTTTTTTTTTTTTTTTTTTCTCAACCCTTGACAATTTCTTGGGGGAGCATTAATCTGAGCATTGTGTGTTATCCCCCTTTTGCTAACTCCCTCCCGTTTTACGCTTTGTGCGCACCATTTTATTATTTTTTTTCTTATTTCGTTTATTTTTTTTTTTTATTTTTTT